GAACAAAAAGGTTTTCTGTACTCTTCTATTAGTCTCAGCTTCAGGAGCRATCTAAACCTAAATATTTTACCTATAAAAATAAGTTTTGCTTAACAACAAAACTGCTGTGACTTGCTGTGGGTTTAACATGCTACTCTAACCAGAGTAGACGGAAACCGTTCTGTAGGATTTCTCCTTTTAAAGATTTTCCGAGCCTTTTTMCTCCTGTCCGTACTGACTCTATTTATGTCCCACTGGAGAAGAGTTGTGTTTAAATTCACTTGTGATTGACCATACTCCAACATTACTATAGAAAATGGCCAAGAAGTTTTTTTCTAATCCTTTTTATAACTCCTGGCTCCCTTTCTCTACTGAAGCAATTAGCCTGAGCTGACCTCTAGCCAAATGTTCCTGTGGTCAGGTTTCAGCTGCCTTGAGGACAGTCAGCTGTTGTAATTTTTTTCTGGTTTTAGCTCTCTTCCTTCTTGCAGGCTTCAAGAGTTGGGTAAGATGTAGTCTATTATTCCTTAGAATAACATGAATTATGGACACTGAAAATTTTTGTGCTGTTAAGCAACAGGGACTTAGTGGCATTTGTCTTTCGTCATGTACAGGAGTAGATGCTACTGGTCGCGTGTTACTAGACYGTAAAAGATCTGTTTTCTCCTAAAGCTGATGAAAAGGAAGAAGCTGTGTCTGCTAGGTTAATTCTGCGTCCTCTAAACAATACTGTTCTTGTTGGCAGCGGGCTTGCACGAGTGGTTTTTGAGGAACAGCAGTGGACTGTTACAAAATAGATACGTGAGAATATTCTGCAGACAGTAGTTGTCTACTGATGGGGGATATGGCACTTGAGAGGAATCTTCTCAGAAATTTTCTTCTTTACCACTGAAAGCAGTATTGTGGTGGGGTAACTTCTGCTTTGGAACAGATTTTTCTCCCTGGAGAACCCAGTTTAGTTGCCTTTGGGGGCCTTGGCYGTACAGCACACCCTTGGCCCCAAACACTCCTAGAAGTGGTAATCTTGCCTGCAGCTCTGCTGGGCTCTGTGTAGGCACAGAAAGGCTGCAGAATCCCCAGGGCTTCACAGCTCTTGCAGATCCTGTAGATCCCTTTGCCTGTGGAAGATCTTGAATATGAACCCAGTCCATGGGCTCTGGCCCTGCGCTCTGATGTGGGTAGTGTGGGACCTCCTACTTCCTGCCAAAAGATGATGTGCAGCCCGTCTGTATTTTAAGGCAAGAATGGTCACTATTGACTTGCATGCTCCAAGATGGAGCATTTCTGGTCTTCCACAGAAGCTGCACTTATTTCTGTATAGCACTTTGCTGAAGGAAAAATGAGAGATTAAGCAGGGATTTTGATGAACTTGAGAGTTCAGGAACCTAAGTTCACTCAGTGCCCAATTTCATTCAGCACTAAATGTTTTGGTCAAGGTCTGTGACTAAGCAGGAAGCTGAAATGGTCAGTATAGCCTGCAAATGCTCTTAATCTCAAATATGTGGTAGCTGCTGCTGGAGGGGCCATCTGTCCTCTCCTCARCCCTGGCTGCTCATTCCCATGCCTGTGCTGTCCCCACGCTGCTCCCAGGGCGCATCTTTGTGGAGTCATACGAGATAAACGAGGTCAGCGAGCAGTTCTGTTACAATAAATGTTTATGGAAGTTTTTTGGCTGAATTARCTTCAACAATTTCCTGGTAGAGTTTATTGCATGTAGGTATGTAAACAAGTCTGTGAGCCCAAGCAAAAGCACAGTATTGGAATAGGATTGTTTTTGTCTGCTGCAGTAAAGCCTTATTCAAGTTTAAAATGATTGTTGAAGTCTGGGATTTCTTTCCAGGCTCTTGGGTTAGCACTCTGGCTGTCAAACCCCTCCTCCTCGGAGGAAGCCGAGGAGGCTCCTAGTCACAGGAGCAGACAGAGGGGAGGATATTCATGTCATGGATGGCCGTATACTAGAATTGATAGTGCTCTAGGTATGGAGTTCTTGGGTGTAATGTGCTTGTGAAAGCTGAAACTGTGTTCCCAACATGTTTTGAATGACTGATTCTATTAATGATTTTTATGGAGAAATCATGTTTTTTCTTCATACATCTGCCGTTAAGCAAGAATAAAAAGGAAAGTTGGGAGAAGACTGGTACAAAACTCAGCAGAGGTTGATGGAGAGAACTGAAAGGAGAAGCGTGGCTAGAAGGAGCCTGGGGCACATGAATATTGCCATACAGAGAGAGAGCAGAGGGACTGGAGGTAAAGTGGGGAAAAGAACATTGATTTCCTCTTCTACGGGTCTGAGCACAAAACTTTAGGGAGACATTTGGACTGGGAAATTGATGTTTGGGAATATCTGTGCTGAGAAGCACAGTCTGTTGGAGAAACACATTTTAAGAGAATTTTAAGAAATTTCTTTGTGCTGTGCAAAACCTCCAGTTGTCCACTGCATGACTGACAGGACGATATTTACCAGAGCACAGCTCCTTCTTGTCCCCAAAAGCAGTCAGTGCTCGTGTGGAGGGGCTGGAGAGGTTGAYAGGGTAGAAGGAGCATGAGAGGAGAGGAAGTAACAAATGCAAAAAACATTTCTGTATGAGATTTACGAGTAGAGGACAATAACATTCCCTTAAACAGGAATATACATGTAGAGATGAGGGAATGATCGATTTGGCTAACAAGAACGTGTTGTGCTTGGATGTAGCTGAGGGTTTGCCAGCGTGGCAGCCCTCTGGGAGCAGGGGGATGCCGGAGCTTTCTTGCAGCCCTATGCACTCCTACGGCTGCAGCCTTCCCTGCGCCTCCGTGCAGCTCCACAGGCTGCCTCCCTCGGAGCAGCCTCAGTCCCAAATCCTCACTAGTGTGCATCTAGTCTCACCATACATTTTCCTTCCTTCCTGTCCCCCTGGGAATAAGGGAGTGGCCCTTGGACCGACTAGTGTCTAGTTGGATGGGGTAGATGCTGCACAGCACTCATTAGGGATCCAGAGAACAGCTCCTCCACCTCTGCATACAGAGCAGCCCTGCTCCCTTCTGCCATGTGCCAACCACACCTGGCCGAAGGGTGTGCGGGACTCCAGGCTGGGAACCTCCAAGGCAGCGACGGTGTCAAAGCAGATGTGGTGGTGATGGTCTCTTGGTTTGTTTCTTCAGGGTCTAGGTTGAACTCGAAAGTGTGGTCGATAAATTTGTATTGTGTTTTGAAACTCACAAATTATTGAGCTGTTATGTGCAAGAAGATGTGAAAAATACCCTCTGATTTTCAAGTGTTATATTAAACAACATGAATGAGAAATCTGGAGTTTGCAATTATTACATTTTTTTTCTGTGGAGTGAGTGAATATGTTCTCTTGGGGTAATAAAATTTAAAAGAGGGAATTACCTTTTCTAGTGTTTTAGTAAATTTAGCATTTGCAAAATTTTTAAATGCTCTGTGTCTGTGTCTTACAATTGTCGATGAAATACAGACTTTGCTAACTGTGCTGGGTGTCTGCTGTTTAGGATCCAGTTTTGACAGCATCAGTTGTGTTAATGCTCATTTAACGATTGTTGCTCATTAGTGGACTTGGTTATCTGAACACTGCTGATTAAATCTCCTGTTAGATGAAGAAAGAAAATGTCCAATTWAAAARAAAAAAAAAAARAAAAAAAWMAAAGCAAAGCATGGTTTGTGGTACTTGCAGTAAGATCCCAAAGCGGAGCCGTGGCTGGATCCCTGCAGGGCTCGCTGGGCTGGGGTGCCAGCATTTCATGTCACGGAACAAGATGTTCAAGCATCATTTCAGCATTCATGCTCATTTGGGTGTATTAACTGTGCTTTTGAAGGTCTCCAGTAATCTCTGTGTTCCTCAGGCACTGTTGTAAACTGTCAGGTAGTAATCCATGTTTATGACTGTTTTTCCCTGCTACAGATGGACACTTTTTTTTTTTTTTTTTTTTTTTTTTGGGGGGGTACAGTTTTGTGCCCTCAAGCCCAGCATAGCCCAGGCTCTTCCCTTCTTTGTTATCAGAGCTAAGTGATAACGACATGAAAAAAACCCTGTCCGTCATACGGAATTGGGTGATGGGGTTGCAGGATGTGTGTTCTGCAAAGAAACTAGGTAGATTGAAGAAGGTGCTTTCTGGGGAGGTTGTGATGACTTGTGGAAAAGCCCTTGGGCCAGGGGCTGTGTGGTGAGCTGTGTGCATGTGCTCAGGACCATCGGAAGGTGCCTGCTCAGAAATGGCACCGATGGAAGTTTTCGGTGTGAAAACTGTCTGTGGCAGCCCCTGAGGCCAGGCCAGCGGAGCAGGGACACCGAGACTCGTGCTCACAGTTGCACCAAGCCAGCAGGAAGCAGAACAGAGGATTAGTCCAGATTAATTCCTGCTGTCACCTCTCCCTGCCCTCTCTGCTAAGGGAGTGCTGTTCGCCTCCGGTGGGGGATGTTCTCCCAGGTATCCAACTGGGTTGTCCTGATCGCAGCCTCTCAGCTTTCTGGTGTGGGAGCTGCATTAYAAGACTGTGTCACTCCTCTCCTTTTTCCTGCATTGAGTCCTAGCCCCAGGAAACATTATATGTACCCTGCAAAGCCAAACACAACGTTAAGGGAGCATCACTTAGGAAAGGGATCATAGCTTTGTTCCTTGAGGTTATTGGTCTTTCCACATTTTCACATTTAACCTGGGCAAGTCATTGAATTCCATTTTTGAAAAGTTGTTATGGGGAAAGTTTTGTTATTTGCTTAGAGCAAGATAGACTTTGAAAATAATGGGGTTTTTTTCCCCTCTGTATTTAATGAAATAGTGGCCCATAAGTTGGTTCTATTAAAAAAAAAAATACTGTAAAATATTATTCTAGACTCTGTTGTCCTAGCCTGTAAGGTATTATATGACTTTACAGGACTTTACARAGCAATAACCTATAAACTAAATACACTTCTGGTTTAACTCCAGTCAGAAATTTAATAAAACTAAATGGTAGCTTAAATACCTTGTAACTGTCATAACGTAAGTTTACAAAGAAGCTCTCTGATTATCTTTTATTATTACAGAACCTAAAGGGATGGATCTTCGGCATCTGTTGTTTACTTTGGCACTGGTCTGTGCAAATGACACTCTCTCTACAAGTGATGGTAAGTTTTATATCTTTCTGCCTCTTTGTGTATATATAGACTTCATATAAAAGTATTTTTATATGCGTATGTAAGTACCTTGATTGCAGTAATCGCAGTGCATCATGTGAAAAAATATGTCACTTAATCTGGTTGTGAAAATGATGGATTAGACTAAGTGTTGTAGAGTAAAGGTGAATTCCGTGGATGTCGAAGGCACATAAAGAGGTTGGGTGAAGGTTGATGTTGGGTATCTAGGTTTTCTTTCTCCTGTTCTAGTCTGTCTAGTACTGAGGTTGTGAAACAACCCCCCCTATATGGGGGTTGTTTTTTTAATAGAAAATTTTTGTTTTCCATTAGTGTCCTTAGTGTATTCATGTTAGAGAGAAAACTATTTGAAAGTTAGGAAGAAGCATTTTCAGACTGTACGTTTGGAGTCTGAGGCCAGTATAAACAAGCTTCATAAGAAATGCACTTAAAAGTTCTTCAGAAAAGGTTTCAAAAAAAAAAAAAAAAAAAGAGGCCTTTGAAGAGAACATGATGCCTCAACCAGGCAGATTCCTTTGAGTACCCAGTAGAAACCTTTTCATATAGTGCAGATCCTGAATACGTGTCCTGCAGTGGTTTTGATTCAACAGATCTGCTCAGTTTTTGTGTCTACTGAATGTACCCCGTGGCTTTCCACAGTTCTTCTTTTCTCATCTCTCTCGTCCTCAGTTCTTCCATCTTAATTGAATGCAAGCTGGAAGGTATTCCCTCCGGCTGAGCTTTCTCTGCTGCTTTTTCTTTTTGCAGCCAGCAGTGATTTACAAGTCTTTGTATGTTCTAGAAGCTTGACTTGAGTCTGCTTGATCCTTTGAAGCTGGTCTTTTACTACTCAAGAATCCAGATGAGCGTTGGTAGGAGTTCTGCGTTGGTCTAGACACACCTGCTCGTGCTGGTTATGACCTGCTCTTGCAGACCAAAGCAGCCTACTAGTCTGCTCTGTCTTGTTGGGGCCTTTGCAGAGAACAGTAACAGTGTCCTGTAGTGACTAACTGCTTCTGAACATGTCATTTCTTCTCCCAGAGCTACCAAACCAGCTGCCCCAGAGCAGTTTCGTGTACAGGAGCCCTCCCGACCAGCTAACCAAGAGCAGTGTTAGCAGACGAGGTCAGAGGGGACAGGCTGATACGTAATTTTGGAAAAAGGGGAGTGAAGCTTCCACAACAAACTAAATGGATAAAATATTCAATGAAAATTTCTTGCATCTTTCACACATTCATTTCCTTTTCTCTTTAAATCAGTAGTTCTATTCCTACTTAGATGTTATAAAATGCAAATTAAACATTCACAGAGTTAGAAGCCATGTTTCACTAGCCAGTCTATTGTTGGTTTTAGCATGTGATACTAAACTAAAAGGCTATGGCTCAGTTCCCAATAGTCATAATTGCCCTTCATTTTAAAGGTATAATCATCTTCCTTCTCGCTGATAAAATTCTGCATTTTTTTGGTGTTGCATTCTTACTGTTTCTGGATATCCTATTTGCAGAAGTAGCAAAGCAATATGATCGATATTACCTTATATATGATGGAGACATTAAGCAGGAAATAAGGTGTAATTAAAATTCAAAGAAGGAATTTTCACTGGAAAATTCTGTGGAAAGCAATGAATGAATCAAGTTTCCAGTTCCGTTCCTGTTTGCAGGGAGGCTTTCAATCTGCTACCCGCGTGTCTTACGCGAAATGAATGCACTTACTTGAGAAGTGTATAAAGAAGCATGGGATAGTGAAGTACTTATTTTCATACTAAAATAGTGCTGAAATGTGGGCGATTTTTTTTATTATTTGTTTTGTATTGTTCATCTTCTGAGATAGTTAAAAGGAAGTTTCAAAAAGGAATTTGCTGAGTAAAGCTATGTATTTCTTTCTTTGTTTTCTTGTGCACCAGTCCCTTTATTTAGACCCATGAGTTGAAATAAAATTTGCAAATTCCTCTTTAAGCCTGTTAAAATAAAAACTCAGTATTTCTCAGTGAAATATGATACATGTACAGCCTTCTGTTCATTGCCTTTTGCAGAATGATCAGTAGGAAAAAAAACAAATATGGTCTGGCTTGATCTCCTTTCCCCCTCCAAATATAAAAATAATCCCTGCTCCACTGCAGTCTGCTGAACCAATTGATTTCTCTGTTGAGGCTTAGGAGCCTCAAGGCTCCTCAAGGCGTAAGAAGCTTCTTGAGGCTTGGCACATGAAGTGTGGTCCAAATCTCCAAAGTTCTGTGAAAAGTTTCTGCTAAATGTAAAAAAACAAGCACAGTGCTCCGCTTTGCCTGCTTATATATGCACTCATTAAATAGTAACTTCCATGAGCTTACTTCAAGAATCAAAATACTGAAAGAACACTTGGATTATGTAGTTAAATCCAAGACACTAAATATCTACACCTTGATCTGCCCTATTTTTACACAGCTGTTTATGTGCGAGGAAAAGAGCATTAATGCCTTAAGAATAAGTTCTATACTTTAAACAGCATTTAAGATTGTAGCGCTTTTACTTTGAGATTGGGGAGCTGGATGCCTAGGAAAATTGGAAAGGAAGTGTAACTTGAATGGGGGTRTCTGAGATAACAGCATGGCAGAGCAGCCGTGTGTCGTTCTTGCCTGATTTCAGACAATGTTTTTAGCCAGTCTTGCTCTTTTTTTCCATGTGTGTGTGCCTATATCCACAAACAGTTCTCATGAATGTCCAGCCCAACCCATTACTGCGTCACGAATCCTGAGGATTTTGCAGAGCTCTGCTGAGCACAACCTTCCTACATACTTAAACGAAATGTGCACCAAAGGAGCTGCATCTGTGGTGCCGGAGATCCCTAGCAAATCCACTTCATTAAGCAGCATTTTCCTGTAAAAGCACAATGCAAAATTACAGCTAGTTGCKAATCTGACACATCCCTGACAATGCATTATGCTGACTTGTACATGGAGGGCTCCATAGAAGAACTGCACGCTTTTATAGTCTGAAAGTGAAGCTTATGTGCAGCTTTAGGAGCGCCTGTGCTCTGAGCTGGCTGTGCGCATCGGGGTCAGATCCACCCTTGGCACGCAGTGAAATCCCATACGTGTTTCCTCCTGGCAGGAAAGAGAGTGTGAGGCCAGCAGTTGGCTGGGGAACCGCCAAACATTCAAGACGAAGATATTGGACATTTAGTCACTCATTTGCAGCCTCCAGGCTGGTGCCAGTTCTGCTGGAGCCTTTCTGTTGATTTAGCTAGTTTTCGTACTCGCCTTTTCCTAAGAGCCTGGCTTGCCAGCTCCTTAAGCAAGGCCTATGGCTCTAGTGACCTGCCTGCGGTGCCTGCCCTGCGGGAGGTGATGCTRAACGTGGCCAAGCGTGTCTGCCACAGCACTTCCCCAGGCGTAATTCAGAGTGCAGCAGTCAACAAAATTTAGGCCCCTGACAGTATAGGTTGCTTTGAAGAAGGAATTACATCCTTCTGGAACTACTGTAGCTTTATTTTTAATTAATGAGGTACATGAACAAATGACAGGACTGGTTCATAAATAGATTATCTACTTCTGTGCAATAACAGTCATGGTTCAGGAAAAAATAAAGGTGTATATACACGTACACATACACATTTTCTGTTTGAGATACTTGCATTAGTTTAACTGTGGTATTTCAAATATGTATTCCAGCATATACCTTGTAATTTTGTTTYAAGATACGTGCTAACATGGGGAGGGAAGGAGGGTGCTCCAGGCACAAGTTGCAGAGAGCATAGGAAGCTGGAATAAGTTCTGTTTGCTTGTTGTTTCCCTACAACTGACGAGCACGGGTCAGATGAGGACACAGAGGAGTAAACTGGGAAATAGTCCCAGTTAATAAAACAATACATAAACTCATGCAGTTCCAAAACTAATTTCTTCCCCACTGAAAAGAAGGGGGAAGCATCTTGTATCATTTTTGTTGCTCGAACTATTCATTTCAGAATATTAAAGCTTTGCTCACTCAACCACTGAAACAGGTTTAGAGAGRAATTTATGTTTAATGCTAGCACAGTATTTTTGAGTGACCTGCTTTTGTACAGTGATATTTTAGGAGAGACGAGCCTGAACTTGCATTTTATTTAAACTGATTGCAGAAACATTTTTGTCTTTTGCATCACAGCTTTGTTTTAGGATAGTTTTGCTGTTGCTTTTGTTGGTTTTTGTTTGTTGTTTTGCTAATTTTTATTTCCAACAAATACAGCTTTTGTCAGGCTGGTATCTGCTGCCTTACTGCAATTGGATGCTTTGTGTGTATTTCATATCCAGATGAAACCACCTACATTTAGGTGTGTATTGGGTCTCAGAGCTCCCAATTACAGATCCAAGGACTGAATCCTTTGTCCATGCACAGGGATTTATTGTCGTTGGAGACTCCCCTGGACACCTGAGACATCTGCATGGGGCTKACAGAGATTACGTCCCTGAGAGATGAGCATCCTTCTGGAATCTCACAAGTTCCCGAGCATGATGTTTAGACAGCTAAATGAGCATCAGCAGCTGAACTGCTCTTTTATGTCTCAGGAAATATATTGTCTAAATCCTTATTGATGTCATGGGAGCATAGACACGTGCCGGTGAGATTCACCTGTGTGTGAATCCCAGGAGGTGCTCCAGGTATCCAAACTACCTGCATGAGACTTGTGCATAGGGCGTACTATTGGAGATCAAATCTTCTGAAGCAGCAGCTGAAGAGCAGGTAGAATACCCTAAGGAATTTGTGCACAGTTATAGAAGTTGAAGCAATTGAATTTTGCTGTGGATTGCATGTAGAGAGAGCTAACTGCAAGTCTCTTCTTTTTGAATTTTCACCTTTATAGTCATCTGCRTATGTTACGATGAATAATTCTGCCTGCTTTCTGCTGCATGGATGGCAGGCTAGCTGCTCAGCTGTRCACTGTTGGTCTTTGTGGTCGGGTTAAGGGGTCTTGTTATGTGCATAGACAGGATAACAGCTGTCAGCATGAAATTAAGTAGCAGCCTGATGCTTTCTAGA